GTATACTCAAGCGTCAGATATTTACAGTCTTGGAATTATCGCGACAGAGATTTCGACCGGACAAAGAGCATTTGACGGAATTCCGTTTAATGATAACCTTGTATCAAAAATTATCGGTGGATCAAGACCTAATTGTTTAGGACCAGATTGTTATATTAAATTAGCTATGAAATGTATGGATAAAGAAATTGATGAACGACCTACTGCTACAGAAATTATTAAAATAATCACTCGTTGGTTAGATGAAATTGATGATGAAAATGATAACGAAATCAAAAAACAAATTTTGGAAGCTAATAAAGTTAAGCCAGAATCGAATAAACAATTACATCCACGAGAAATATATACTAGCAAGTTATATGATACGAATAATTATTCCGAATATATTAGTACAATTGAAATTGTGAGAAAATTCTCCAATTTAGATTTAAATTAAATTATATACGTATATACTGTATTATGTGTTTATGTAACTGCACTTATGAAGATGCAGCTATAATAATTTCTCTTAGCAAAATATTTTCTACGATAACTAATCATCTATATATTATCATCATCTTTATATTATCCACTATATATAAATATATTCTTCGCATCAAGTAAAAACAGAACGTACTTTGATTCGTAATATAAAACTTGTCACCTTCGAATATGTCATTATTACGATTGGTATTCTTTTTTGCCAATGCTTAGAGCAATATTTGTATTGAATAGAGTTCATCAACAATATAGATTTTCCTTATTCTCGAGGCCCTGCTTTCAGAATTAGATATTTATTAATTAAAGGAGTATCTAAACTATTATCAATTTTATCGATCATGTTGAAATCATAAAAGAATTATTTTAGCGCTAGTTCTATTTATATAATTGACTTTTAGGTTATTTGATAATAACGGTCGTTTAATTTTTTCAATAGTTTTTAAATTATGTTATGTGTCAAGTTATACCACTTTTTTACTTGTTTATTCAATACTCTATCTGCATTGTCAATTAATGTATTAGGGTGATTCAGAATTAAGGTTCAAGTTTCTGATTTCGAATTAAAGACATAAATAGTATTTTAGAAGTATAATATAAGTATATTCTAAGTAGGGTACTTATAAAAATACATGCAATTTTCTCAAAAAAAAATATATATATAAACTGTTGGAATTATTGCAAATATTTGATTAGATCGAAGTCTTACTATTTGTGAAAAACTATCAAGTTTATGACTTTTTTTCGAAGAATTTTAAAAAATTTTTAGCGATAATTTGTAATATTTTACACGATAGTATCATATGATAACAAAAAAAAAATACATCGTCAAAAAATAATCACTCATTCTGATTTCAAAATTTCAAACCTGCCACTTGTTTTCGAAATATGTTAATTATAAATCACCCTATTGGTCTTATTTGCACGTATTAAAGAGAAATATTTGGTAAAGGTAGATTATATAGAAGACGTCGAATGTTATGAAAAATGTCCAATACTAAAAAAATCATTTTATTATCATATATAGATACTAGTGATGCCTGACGAAACCATGTGATGCTAATTGTCACATGGTACAATATATAAAAATCAACAAACTATTTTTGATTTTTTATAAGTAATAGCATGTGATAATTAGCATCACATGGCTTCGTCAGGCATCACTAATAGATACCTCAAATTTCATTTTTATCTTATCTTATTAATTTAAAATTTGAAATTAATAATCAATACCACCACAGCATGGTCAATGAAAAACTTCAATACTAATATAAATATTAAAAATAAATATCGAAAAATTTGCATAAGAAATAACTAAAAGTTTCTTTTAGCGATGTTACTATATATAAATCATCATATCTAGCTTTTAATTCTAACACCAAACTCATCACGTGGCCGATATTTCTGTCATACTGGACATTTGAAAAACTTCATATGATGATGAGCAGGTGAATTGTAAGACTTTTACAACTTCATCTCCAGAAAGATAAATTCTAATTACTGACATTCCATACTTTTTTTATCATTTTTCAAAGTTTATTTTTTAATAGATTTGTTTATTTCATTTTATTTAATACAGTAATAATTAATCTTTTATCCTTTTTATTAATTTTCTCAGAGCCTAAATATCATTTACTAATTGTTATTTTAAGTCTTCAAACTATATAGAATTTTGATAGCAAATAACTTATATTTAGTAAGTTTTATCACCTCTTACCTTCTCTTATCTGCTATTACAAAAATGTTTTGGCAAATTTAAAATTATGGTCCGACTTTTTTTAACATAAAACATCCTGATAACAATAGTATTTTTATCATTTCTAGTGTTATAGGATTGGTTAGTATGGTTGGTAACTGTTAAGGGTGTATTTAGAAGTCAATTACAGGCATTTTAATATACTTTTGTTCTATATTTAATCACGTAATATTATAGCTTTCCAATATTTTAGATACAATTTAAAAGTATTATGAAAATATGCATTGAAAAGTGTCTTGCATATTGTTATTCTCATTCACTTTGAAATTTAGAATTTTATATTTGTATAAATGTAAATAAAAGATTTCAAAGAATGTTTGAAACAGAAATTCAAAAAATTGATTTTAAGGTCTCTTACTCACAAGAAACTAACTACCAAAATACATTATCAAAATATAATTAAGTGAGAAGAATATATTTATTTATGTAATATAATGGGATTAGAAATTGTAGAAATTTTTGATAACTAAATAAAAAAATTACTATGGTTGCGCCTTCTTAAGTTTCTTAAGTGCATATTGCCTACTGTGAACATATTTTATATAATTTAATTTAAATCTCAATATTTCAATTGACTAATAGGCTTACTAATATATTCGGAAAAATTATTCGTATCATATAACTTAATAGTATATATATTTTTGTGTATGTATTTGTTTTTTCGATTCTGGCTTAATTTTAATAGCTTTCAAAAAATTGTTTTTGATTTCGTTATCGTTTTCCTGATTCATACTATCTAACCAATGTGTGATTATTTCAATAATTTCTGTTGCAATATAACGTTCATTTATTTCTTTATCTATACATTTTATCTAATTTAATATAACTATCTGGTCCAAAACATTTAGGTCTTAATCCACCAACAATTTTTGATACAAGGTCTCCATTAAACGGAATTTCATCAAATGATCTTTGTCCGGTCAAAATCTCTGTCGCGATAATTCCAAGACTGTAAATATCTAATGATTGAGTATACGATTGACTCATCAAAATTTCTGGTGCAATGTACGACAGAATTCTACAGACTTTTTCTTCTTTTGATTTTTTAGAAAGTTTAATATATATATATTGCAGACTATCTCCTTGCAAAATGTTTCCGCTATGTAAATCTTTGTGAACAAGTTTCTGCGAATGTATCAACTTGAGATCCAAAGCTATACTGTACAAAATATCTAATTTATTTTCCCATTCTAATTGTGATACTTGTATTATTCTCGCTCAGATCATTTTATTCGAAGAAAAGACAACATGGAATAGTGCACTGTCGCAATGCTACATGTCTACATGTCAATAACTTCTAGTTAAAACAGTCATTGTAAACTACTCAAATCTGTCAACTTCCACCCCCTTTTTCTTTTACTTCACATCCCAAATTTCTGCCAAATCACCTACCCAGAACTACTATCAATTTGGTTATCTCTCAAGTCACGTGGTGAAGAAAGAATAGAGAATCGAAGTTAATGGCTCCCCTCTTTTTTTTTTTTACTTAAGGGAATCCTAAGGTACGTCACCAAGCAAGATATAAAAGTTGGCGAGCAAGGTGACTAACATGATTAATTCCTATCTAATCACTATATTTCTCCTTTTACTTGTGTTTCCATGACCATAATCAATGCAACACGTCACTAAGCAATCAATTTGTAAGTCAGTGAGCACGTTTTAACTGCCTTCTGACACATAAAGGTTCTTTTTTTTTTTTTTTGTCCTCAAGCCGACGCCTAAGTTGGTGAGCAAGTCTCTCAATAGTAGGTTTTCTAACCTATTTGTTATACATATAACAATTTCTTTTTTTTTTTGGTCCACAATCCTCATAATGTATGGTAATGGCCGAAACCAGAAGTGGGGGTTTTTTTTTTTTTTTTGGGCGGTGGGGGGAAAAGCCAGACTAAAACATCGGGCAGCGAAGAAAAAAGCACTAAAAGATCTACAATTACATATTTTACCCCAATTTATACACCTTATGTTTCATATACGCCTAAATGTCGTCATGGATCTAAATGGGACAATGGAAGCCGATCCTCGCGATAATAACCTTAGCACGACTATCGTCGTGCGTCAGGTCATTATTCTCGCTTTGATCATTTTATTCGAAGAAAAGACAACACAGGATAACTCAGAGGATTGTGCTACATGGTTTTTTTTTTTTAAAACCCCATCTTTGCCGTAGTGTTTTGGGTTACTATAGAGAAAGATCTAAGGTACAAGGAAACTGATTGGGACAACCATCCGCCAATGCTCATTATTTAGGGTAATGATAACCCTGCTTTCATAATGCTTGTGGCCCCACCAAAACGGATACTATGCCCAGAATACTTACCATCACAGCCGGCATGTTGGATCATCCTTTTTACCACTGCATTTACCGCACCCATTGTTATTCGTTTACCCGATGCATTTAAAAACAAATAGTCCTGATCCTTCCCCTTCTTTCTTACATTCAAATACTCATGAACTAAACGTATAGGGCAATAGGATGAGTTTGTTGGGTCGACCGGAATAAACTTTCCTTTTGCGAATTGATCGGTCTTGGATCTGTTTATCCTAACCCACCAGATTCCTTTTACTACTTTAATATCATTTACACATAGATTATATAGTTCAGCTGGTCTACGCATTGTGCGAAGGCCCAATGCAATCATAGCACAATCACGCTTCCAGATATCAACAGATGCATTCTGAGGAGGGTTATCTATGTAGTTACGCAAGGCTTCCACTGGAAATGGGTCACAGGGCCAAACTGCTTCTTTATCAACTGTGGCAAGTTTCCTCATAGGCGTTGCACATTATAGTCTGTCGTAGGATCCTCTAATCTATTACTTCGATGATAACGGCTAATTGCCGCCACATAGACATATAGGTTCGCTGAACATGATGTCATATTTGCCCAGGTTAAAAATATCACCACTGTATTTGGGTGGGCTGAATGTGCCACTAAATTATGTGTATTACAAAAGGCATTAAACTCTATCCATAAGCCTTCAAGGTGTTTGTCATACTTCGATTTTGATATTAGCATTTTTTGGGTCTCGTCAGTTAGAAAGTTCAAAAATAAACTCTTATTGCCTGGAATTTCCAACATGGATTCTTCCACAGTTCCGGTATTTGGTTTCCACCAGTACTGGTAGGAAACATTCTGTAGCTAGGGGAAGTTCCAATACTTTCTTCTGTATTTTTAGGAGAACCGGCCACCAAGGGCTGACACTCATACTGGAACGATAATAGTCATGTGTGCCTGCGCCTTCATTCCTTGTTCGATTACTCTATGAACCAAACTTAATAGGGGCATACATAGTTGTTTTTGTTGCTCCAATTTTGGGTAAAACAATCGGTAGCGCCCGCTTCTGGACAAAAAAAGCGACTGTTGAAATAGGTCACTTTCCTTGAGCAAAAACTGGCCATGCGGTCTATGGTAAATGGTCCCCATCTTTCCTCTATGAGTTGATATATTTTCTGATTCACTGCTCAGTCGGAATCGTCAAAAACACGTGTAAGCTCGTCAGCTGAATTTAGCTCTGAAGGGATCTACCAAAATTCGTGAATGCGTATATTGTATTTGTCACACAGATTCCAGACTTCTTGCATTACGTCTTTTTGCTACAGTCTTTTTCCACCTAATTCTACTGACTTTTGGGCTACCCGATTGTCTATGAACACTGTTATCCAATGGTTTGCAATTATAGAGACAAATGCTTCTATTCCCAACAAGGCAGCCATTGACTCGAGGAGAGCAATGTCAGTGTGTCTGTGTTTATCTCCCAATTTCCAAAGGCCTTTTTCCCATATACAACCACAGACTACCCTGTTGTCGATGCATCAACATATATCGGCACCACTTTGGATGGTTTCTATGCCGGGCTTCCATTCTTCTTTTCTAGGTTTGTCAGGACCCAGTTTATGTCATAAATTGCTTTAGGTGTTAACTGAATTGGGGCCTTCCACTCCCAAGGTTTTCTGTTTTCTGCATCAATAAGCGAGTAGAATTCTAGACAATAAGTCTTCACATGAGTAAATGCACGGCTTAGGCTCATTAATTTGCCCGCTGCTGAGGCTAGAAGTTGAGCTGTTAGTGGGGACATTCTTAAAAGGCTTCGGAATGAATATAATGTGTTCTTTATTTTCTTGTTAGGTGCAACCACCTCTCCTATTACTGTATTTAGAAATTATCTCATAAAATTTTGCTTGCTGTGTTGGTTCTGGGTGCCTCTTTTCTGCCAAAACGAATTCACTTTCTTTTAAGTCCTTGAATATTATTTGGTCTCTGATTTGCAACAAGATCTCCCGGCAAGGGTAAGCTATCTACATATCGTCCACATGGTTTCCGCAGATGATTCCTGATGCCCTCCAATGTCCAATTAATACCCACATTATCTTTGAGAATATCCAAACAGCCTGTCTTAGACCAGGACCCCGGACATTTTCAATATAGGTCATAACTGATCTGCATAAATTTTGGGGTTTTTGCTACCCCTAAAATCAAATAAATTTGCTAAAAATTCAATTATTACATATAAATTTTATAGTAATTTGCTAAAAATTAAATTATC